CTTTCTTTCAATGACATCATTATCTTGGCAAAGCTGGGTTTTCAGTGCTTGCTCTGATAAAAAGCAAGACCATGTACAAGAAATGAGAGTGGTGGTATCTAATGGGATTCCAAGGTTTGAGAAGTTGTGCCCATTGATAAGTACTATCCCATTAATAAGTAACTGTGGCTATTTAAGAACAAGATACAAATATCATTATTTTCTATCAATTTATGTGTACTGTTTCTTTAAAAAACAGCTATTAAGGGCGCCTGGGTGGCTCAGTGGGTTAAAGCCTCTGCCTTCAGCTCTGGTCATGATCCCAGGGTCCTGGGATCCAGCCCAGCATTGCATCTGGGCTCTCTGCTCTGCAGGGAGCCTGCTTCCTCCTCTCTCTCTCTGCCTGCCTCTCTGCCTACTTGTGATCTCTGAAATAAATAAAATCTTTAAAAAAAAAATAGCTATTAAAGTTGTTAAGGCATAAATGCTTCTTAAATTATTAGCACCTAACTACCTAATCAACAGAAATGTGAGGTTCTTTCTTTGGCCTGGGATTTCCAGGAAAATTAATTACTGAGCCACTAAGGGTTCTGTGAACTGAGAAAGTTTAGGAAACTCTGAGTTAGAACATTCCAGGCAGCATAAGTAGCAAGTGTAAAGATTGGAAGGCAAGAATAGCCTACACATCAGCTTAACTCAGCTTTTCCCCTTTGGTGATAGTATTTTCAAAAGTGCTATTACCTTTAGTTTGGTCTATACATCACTGAGCTCTTGCGTGTGTGTGTGTGTGGGGGGGGTTTATGTGTGTTACTTGCTTTAAAAAAAAAAAACATGATTCTGTGTTATTTCCTGAAAATTCCCGATCACTAGGAACTTTTTTTTTTTTTTAATGTCAGCTATAATGTTCTCTTTATTACCGGTCTTGCAGTCTTTTTTAAACTCCAAAAAAAACTTTGTTCTTTCTTTAAAATTCCATGCTTGAAGACTTTTTGGCCAGGCTAGATTTTGGAGATTCTAGCTGGTTTTTAGGACCGGGATGATACCCATTTTAGAATGAAGAGGAACTGATCATAGGAAGACGAGGTAAGAAGCCCACCTAATGGGCCATGGCTTTGGGTCCAGTGATGAGAGGTGAGGTCTGGGATTTGAAGCAAGATGTTTCAACATACCCAGAGAAGCTTGTTCTCTTGTTTGTGTACTTATGTTATGCAAAATCACATAAGATGCATTTTTAATCCTGAATTGTCATTGCCTTTCCTGTGATTAGAATGCTTTTGACCCATTTCCAAGGATTTCACTTTAGAGTCAAGGTAACCAAGAAGTTGAATGAGTAATTACAAGGTTGCCTAGTGACCACTGAAAAACAAAAAGGAAAATACACTGTCTAAAAAGAATAATTGTTATTTTAGGTAACTTCTTAGAAGTCCACCTACAAAAAGAATTCATTTGTTTTATGTTGGTATTATTTGTACTGCTTGGGTGTAGGGTTTCTCCCTTTCTCTCTATTAAATCAGGGCGTGTGTCCAATGACCATTTTCTTAACCGTATTTTCCTTTGTTTAGCAGCCCATCTTTTTTTTTTTTTAAGATTTTATTTGTTTATTTGACAGAGAGAGAGAGATCACAAGTAGACAGAGAGGCAGGCAGGCAGAGAGAGAGAGAAGCAGGCTCCCCGCTGAGCAGAGAGCCCGATCCGGAGACCCTGAGATCATAACCTGAGCTGAAGGCAGAGGCTTAATCCACTGAGCCACCCAGGTGCCCCTAGCAGCCCATCTTTGCTGATACACTCTTTAAACATGCACATATACAGCTTATTGGTGGGGCTGGTTTTCCTGTTAGCCTGGAAGACATTCTGTCTCCTGTCGGTATTTATTGATTTAATTAGATAAAAACTCAAGTTTCTACTAGGACCATTCTACTCTGTCCGATTGTCACTGCTTTCTTATACAACCTATAGCTATCCTCTTTTTTCCGGTAAAGGATAGTGTACTAAATACGCTGAACTCTGTTTTTCTTTTTTTTTTCTTTTTTAAACTCATTTTATTTAAATCCAATTAGCTAACATATACCATACCATTAATTTCAAATGTAGAGTTCAGTAATTCTTTAGTTGTATATAAGTGCCCATTATACCCTGTGCCTTCCTCAATGGGTTACTTACCCATCCCCCCACCCATCTCTCCTCTAACAACCCTCAGTTTGTTTCCTAGAGTTAAGAGTCTCCTACAGTTTGCCTCCCTCTCTGATTTCGTCTTATTTTATTTTTCACTCCTTTCCCCTATAATCCGGTTTTGTTTCTCAAATTCCGCTCTGTTTTTATTTTTTAGTTAACATTTTTGAGATTGTTTATATTATTAAATATCATTTGCCTTATTCCTCTTAATGGCTGCAGAGAATCCATTGTTTGGATGAACAATAATTTAGGTAATTAGTCCTATTTTAACAAACATTTAGGCTGTTTCAGTCTTAAATTCTTGGTGTACACCTATAAGAATATCAGAGGACAAATTCCTAGAAGTGGAATTCCTAGGTTAATTAGGGTGTACATTCCAAGTATTGATAGATATTGGCAAATTTCCCATCAAGGAGACTACATCAGGCTACACCAATAATTTGAAAAAGTGTCGGTTTTCCTAATCCGTCATCAATACCATCTATTTTCAAACCTTTTATTCTAAAAAATGACATCTTATTATAGTTTAAAATCTAATTTCTTTTAAAAAGAGTGAATTTGAGCTTACGTTTTTATGTTGAAAACCATTTGTTTTTCTTGTCTAAGTCAATAAACATTTAATGACAGCCTACAACATGCATAATTGTTATGCTCATTACCAGAGATATGGTGATAAACAATATGTAGCCTCCACCAGAGCTGTGGGAGAGACAGACCAATGACCGACAGTTACGTTGATCAAAGTTTAGTATAATGGTATAATGGGAACCTGTTGGAGGCACACCCGTCACAGTCCAGAAGGAGATCAATGGAGCTTCTAGCAGGAGGAGGCGTGTAAACTCAAATCTAATGGAGATATACTGGTTAGCTAGGTGAACCCTAGGGTTGGGAAGAATATGGAAAAAGAGGCAGCAGATTCATGCGTGCAGTGATGGAAGCCGAAAGCATCTGGGACTTGTGCATAGCCCAGTGCAAAGGGGGCACTGTCAGAAGAGGAGGAAGGGGAAGGGGCAGGGTAGGCCCTTCCCCCACTAGTGCGGCCTTGGAAATCAGTTCAGGGGTTGTTTGAACTTTGCCCTAATGACAGTATGACATCACTGGAAGATATTCAGATAGAGGATAACATAGCAGAAGTATCTTAGGGGTTGAGCTAGAAAACTGATTGGAGAAGTTATGGTGAGTAGTAAGGAGCCCATCCAATAATTCAGGGAAGGTGATATTTTTTCAGACTTAGTGATATACTAGATATTCATAGAGCTCATTTAACATTACTAATGAAGCACCTAATTTTCCCAGTCCCCTTTAAGATGAGGTACACTGAACAGGGGTGAACCAACCACCGACAACCAGACAGCCTGGGTATGATTCCTGGCCCTGCCTGTTTCTGGTTGCATGAGTCTGAGCGATAGAGGAAATTACTAACCTTTGAGGGGTGCTGTGAAGATGGAGAGAGAGGCATGTGAAGTGCTTAGCACATCACTTGTCTTATAAAAATGAAGGCTTAATAACCACTAGCTGTTCTTATCATTTTTAGTATTACCTGCCCTCATTCCACTCTGGAAATGTCCCGACCTTTGACTTATTACAATGTGCATATGGAGAGAATTACAGAATGTGGAATTTTGGAGAGGTTTGAGGTCTCTTGTTCAATCTCCTAATTCTAGTTATGAGAAAACAGAGGGGAAGAAATCAAACAATCTGTTTGTGGTTGCACAGCGTCGACCTGAAATTCCTCGCTGGTCTGGTTCTTCTATCACAGGTCCATGTAGGTATATATTTTGGTTACTACACTTAGCCTTAAGAATGGATCTTTTCCCTATTTGTTGACAGCAGCAATTTCTTGGGTGGAAACTCCTAATTTGGAAAACAGTCAGGCTTACACACTTTGAGCGCATCATTCAAACCCCATAGAGCTGGATGACTAAATCTATAGAGACTGCAAAATCGGTTGTTTTTAGCAGTGGGGGTTGACGTGCTCCAAAGCCCCTCCCTGGGTGAGCTCCTCCTCTCCTGGCCCGACCAGGCACAAGCCCCCCGCCCTCCCATCCTCACGTTTGCCTCCTGGATTCTCCCAGCCCTTTCGTTTCCCTGGGGCCCCTGAGATCCCATTCAATCGAATAAACAGCTGTTTAGGAAGAGCCTGCTACGTGTAAAGAAGGCTCTGGGCTGACTGGGGGAGGCAGGGATGAAGAGGTCCCAGCCCTTGCCCAGAGAGAAAGGAGGGAGGCGCTTCCTCTGTATCTTAAACTTGACCTCCCTCTCACCGCTTACTTTACCCTGCTCAGGAATTCTCTCCCGGGTTCGTACGGAGCACGCTCCTACAGCCCCCAAAGGTTTCCCGCTTAGGGAGGCTTCTGCCTGGCTCCAGCTCCGCACAAGCAGCGAGCGGTGGTGGAGAGATTGCCGCCCCGGGCATCGGGCATCAGGCGTCAGGGCACTGGGACCAAGGTGGGTGCTGCCGCTCAAGGGCTGACTGCCTGGGCAGGGCACCTCGCCCGTCCCGGTCCCAGCCTTCTCGTGTATTAACCAGGGCGCGGCACGCTTCCCTCCGAGTTTCCCTCCCGGGGTTCTCCTCTCCCGATGTCTGGGTTCGTGCCCAGCGCCCCGCGCCCGGGCGGCTCCTCGTCCCCTCCCTCTGTCCTCCCCTCCTGCAGCCCAACGCCTCAGGGCACCGTTCAGGTTCAGCTCTGGCTCGTGCCCCCGATTTAGGAAAAGGCCAGGGGGGCTGGAGGGCGCGGGTTGGCAGAGGGGAGGCAGAGGGGGGCGGAGGGAGGTGGCCTCTGATTGGTCGGGGAGGGGGAGTGGAGGCACGGAGTTTCCCACAATGCCCCGGTGCGGTGCAGCCGCGGATGGATGCTGCGGGAAGGGGCTGCCATTTGCTGCCCCTGCCAGCGGCGCGCGGACCTGCTCGCTCTCCCGCAGCGGCGGCCGCCGCCCGCGCCGTCAGCCGGCCCGGCCTCTGCAGCGCCGCCGCCTCGGCTCCCTCCGCGGCCGCCGGAGCGGTCGCCATGAACCCCAGCTCCTCGGCGGGAGAGGAGAAGGGGGCGACGGGCGGCAGCAGCGGCGGCGGAAGCGGCGCCGGGAGCTGCTGCCTGGGCGCCGAGGGCGGCGCGGAGCCGCGGGGCGCGGGGGCAGCGGCGGCGGTGGGGGCCGCTGCCCTGGAAGAGCCCGCGGCCGCCGGCCCGAAGGAGAAGGACGAGGCGCTGGAGGAGAAGCTGAGGAACTTAACTTTCCGGAAGCAGGTCTCTTACAGGTAGGCGCGGGAGCCGGGGCGGCGGGGACACAGGTGCCGCCGCGGGGCTGAGACCCGCTCGTGTCCCTCGCAGAGGGGCTTCCCCGGAGTTGGGGGCACCTGGCGCGCTCTCTCGCGCGCTCTCTCCTTCTCTCTCTTCCTCTCTCCCCCTTGTGGGGAGATGTATTTTCTTCTCAGCCTGGCGTTCTGGGCTGGAGGGAAGCTAGGTGCGCCCGGCTTCCCTGTGGAACAGGACCGAAGACTGGGTGCCTGAGGTCAGAACAACAACAAATGCGTGTGTGCGCCGGAGGGAGCTGCCGACACAGGTGGAGAGCCTAGTTTTCTTGAGAGAAGTCTTCAAAGTTGTCCCTACGCCGGTGTCATCTGTAACCACTCCCCCTACCTTCTAGATTTCCTTGGATGAACCTTTGGCACTAACTTGATAGTTGAGATCGCCCTCCAGGCAGGAGAGAACAGCGCTGTACTGAAGAGAAATCCTTAGGGAAGTCGGCCCTGCCCCGAAATCCCCCATGAAGGAAGGGTCGCTGTGGATCTAAGTCTGTAGATACCCAGCTGGTTAGGGGGTTACCTGCACACGTGCTCTCTCCCCCTCCCCGGGGTGTGCCCAGCGGGAGGGGGTGGGGACCCACTGGCAAGCCAGGGGTGAGCGCCAGCATGGGACCACGCTTGCCCCTGAGGACGGATGCATTTGTGAGACAAGGACAGTGTAGGATAAATGGCCACCAAATTATGATAAAAGATTACCCCACATCGCTCAGGATCTAAAAATGAGAAATGAGGATTTGGTAGGTTCTCGTGCTGTGCCTCGCCACCCCCAGCCCCAGGCAAGAATAACGATTTTGAGAGATTTGGAGAGTTTCCGAGACTACCCTTACTGCTTTGTTAGTTTTAAAGTCCAGATCCTACATAAGCAGATAATTACAAAAATTTGCACTTGCTAGGGCTCTGAGCATTTCTGGAAAAGGGGTCAGTCAAGACATTATTGTGACCCTATTCCCTTGAGCCCGCAGTCCTTTCCAGAAACCCATATAAAGTATTAAGCCTGCCACACCATGTGCTGTTATGTAAGCAAAAGCAGATGACAGAGGTGTGTGGGCTTGTGAGGGTGTGTGTGTGTGTGTTTATGGGGACGTGTGTGAATCACTGGGATCCCCGTAGGCATTGCCTGGACAGGAGGCCCCAGACACTGGGGCATGGGCTCTGTGTCTAAGTGTTGGTTGGCTTCCGATGACTCGGAAGAGGTCTTGCTGGTGAGGCTGTTGCTCTCGCATCCCTCGCGTGCATTTTGTTCGCTGTGCGTTGAGGGAGTTTCCCACTTGACTTGCTCTTTTAGTTACTCACATAGATGAGGATCAAATGAATCTTTCTCTTTATATTTTTTGGTTTCTAAAAATAGGTGCTGGAGAGTGGGGTAGCTCTAGGGAGGTATGCTAGGACACAGGCAGTTCTACTTCCTAGTAATGACGGCCTGCCTGGCCCTTAGGGAATCAGAGACTACATTCAGCCTAATTTAGGAACCCTGAGTTGGAAGGGGTTGATTACATTAAGCCCATTGTGGGTCTGGGCTCCTGTGCTGAGAAATTCTCCTGAGTTCATGGAATTCATCAGACTCCTCCCTGTTCCAGGTAGGGCTGCAAAGCCCCCGTTTGCAAGGGAAATCATTTCAGCTTGCCTCTTGGCAGGGGTCATCCTCTGAGCCTCTCTCTTGGACCTGGGTACTGTGTGAGTGGGACATGGCTTCTTGGATTGCACGCTCACACGTGCATGTGTAAGTGCATGCACCCACAAACATAGGACAGAGCATTTTTTTAATAAAATAAAAACAACGATACTGCATTTGCCTTCCAATCCATAGAGGCGGATCCCACTTTGTGAACATTCCCTTTTACCATCTCTAATTCAGGGAACCACCTGCATCAGTCACCTTAGGTAGGTCGTTAAAAATGCCTGCCACCCCAGACTCACAAAATCAGTCTCTGCGTGGGAATTTTTAACATCCTCCTCAGGCACTGCTTAAGTACATTGCTTTCTGAGGACTGCTGCCCTGTTTTCCCCCAAAGGCTAAACAATTGATCTTTGGGCTCTCGAATAGTGCCCAGCCAAACAAGGCCAGGCTGTCACAACGCCAGAGGAAAGAAAGTGGAAAGACAGGTGAATTCATCTGGCCCATGTTTGTCCTGGGTAACCGGCAGAGTGTCTCCATTTTTATTACTCTTATTATTTTGTTTTGAGTTATGGTGAATGGCCACCCCACTTGCCATGGCCGCCATTCCTGCCGGATTCAGATGGAGCTGGGCCTTGATCATTTTGCTAGTGGGTTAAGAAGTGGTCTGTGAGGAAAGTACAGCTCTGGCTGGAGTGGGGCATGGGCTTCACAGGGAGGACCCCACCGTGTCACTCCCGGGGGGCACCTGAGGACAGTGCCTGGTGGGAGTTCATGGAGGGAGGTTGGCAATACCTCACAGGATGGAGCCTGAGTGAAGGGGTTCGCTAGGCGAATGTAGTATGGCTGCTTGTGTAAGGGGGGTCATTTGAGGTGGGGAAAGAGGAGAGGTGCGGGAGGTAAAAAATATCTTTTGAAGAACATGGGTATTTGCAGAATGACACTTGACAGGAAAGAAGAAGGGGGCTTGGGGAGAGGGTGTGCGTGTGCGTGTGTGTAGGGGGTCTCATCTGCTCCTTCTGTTGCTAAGGAACATATAAGCTAGATTTTAAAAATAAATGAGGAGTGGGTGGGCATATGCAGTGACTCCTGTCTTTTTAGGAACTGGAGCCCTTTACAAAAAGCCTTTAAATAACCATTTCTGGAGGCAGATTATTCATTTTGCTTGACTTTTACTTTGTTAAGTAAAATAAACTCCTTTATATACCCCTAGAATTCCCCTCATTATCTTTTCTTTCTTGGCTTTTTTGGGGGGGGGAACCATTTTCCCATGAGGAATTTTCCTTTATGTTAGAATCTGCTCCCCTAGAGCAAATAGTCTCTGTAGACTGTAAAGCTAAAGGTTTTAGAAGGCAGTGCAAGTGAGCTGGTACTTTTCTCTTAAAATTACTACTTCCTTTTTCTTTGCAAATTATGGTGCTGCAACAGGATACGTATGTGCCAACGACTATATAATGTGTAGGAACTGTTTTTTTTTTTTTAAACTGCTGTAAGAATTCCCATTTAAATTAGTAAAAAAAAAAAAAAAAGTCTCTCAGAAATACACAGGGGAGGGGAAGGAGAGGGTAGCTGATGTTTATTGTCTTCTGTGCACCAGGCCCTGCAACAATGATTATTGAATATGCCATCCTATTTACTTGTCTTGATAGTCCTATGGTGTGAGTGTGGTTATTTCTATTTTATAGACAATTAACTTGAGGTATCTAGCTTGGGTGGGAGGCAGAATGGAAACCCAGATCTGACTCTGAAGCGTTCTCTCTTTAGACTACATTCTGCTTCCCTCAACATTCATTTCAGATTCAAAGTCTCTCCACACGTGTGTGAGTGTGTGTGTGTGTGTGCAGTGCGAGTGGCCCTTTTACCTCCTACGCCACAGGTCATTATATATTATCTCTTACACTTGTTGGGTCGTATCCCTTTGGCTATATAATTTTCAGGAATCCCTCTGCTATTTCAGAAAAGGAATATAAATCCATGATCACCAAAACATATATTGGTTTTGCTTCTGAGCACAAAACCACCTACATGACACCTGCCATCACTATGAAGATACCCATGTTAGAGTTTTAGATGTCTTTGAATAAAAATTACACAGATGTAGTGTAGGTGAACCTAGATCCAGTGAAGAACCGGCCTGTGTGTACCTCCTTGAGCCGCCCAAAATAAATGATGGGGCGTGATTTCACTGGTAAGAAGGCCTGGACAACTACCGTTACTTCTACGATGTTGATGGTAGGCTTCAGTTTCTCCACTTATACACTGGAATGGTTCTGCCAAACTTCCTTATAGGGAGATTTTGGAATGAGGTAAAAGGAGCCAGCAGGAAGGATTAAAGTCCTCCTTAGGCTAGACAACTTGGTTAAAAAAAAAAAAAAAAAGATTTATTATTCTTTCAGGTTGTTGATAAGAACGTAGTATTTCCATTTTTGTCTTGTCCTGCAAAGCAAGATTATGTGATTATAAGAAAGACCAGTAGGATGTAGAAAGCCAAGTAGGACGGCAGGCACACTGTTTCTCCTCGCATGAGAATCCACTGTGTGTGGCGGAAGTTTTCTTCTCCTGGGTATCAGTGTACGGCATCCTCCTTTGTAAATCAGTTTTATTTATTTTATGTTTTATACATTTGCTCACTATTTAGAGCCTTTGGGATCAGATGAAAACTTTGGTCCTAATATAATGTTTTCTTCCTCAATAATTACTTAGGACTTGGCTAAGTGTAGACTTCCTCAATCAGGACACCAACGGGGCAAGACTGCACTTGAACCAATGTCCAGAGTTCTTAATCTGCTCTAGTTGATCTTTCAGAGCCTTGGTTTCTATCATGGGAGAGTGACAGCATTGGACCCTGAGGTATCAGGGAGAGGAGGACATGAAGGGAGTTTTGCTGGTATTCATTTCTGCTGTGGGCAACAACAGCATTGCCTCATAGGGTCAAATTAAATTAGAGTAGAGCTAGCTCTTTGGAACATTTCACTAATAGGAGAAAGCGAGGACTCCCAGTGAGGGTCCAGGCTGGCTGCACCTTCCCTGCCCGACAGGGCTGGGCTCTGGGATGCGCATCCTTTAGGCAACCTGAGTTGTTCCTGGAGTGGGCTCAGAGGCATTCACTGTGTGAAACTGGAAGCATCTGGAAGGACAATTGCTTAGATGTTTACTTGACATTTACTTTCTTACTTGGGTTTATGTTGATAACACTGATCCTAATTACTTTCTCTGAGACCTTATAATTTTAGTTTTAGGCTAGTAGTTACACCAAATCAAGAGTGGATAACTGAGGGATGAAGGTAAGGAGCAAAACAAAGCCTAAGCTGCGGGTTTCTTTCTTCCTTTTCTTTGA